ATATATATATATATAGATATAGATAGATATAGATAGATATATAGAGATATATAGAGATATATAGAGATATAGATATATATATAGATAGATATATAGATATATATATATATATATATATATATATAGATATATATAGATATATAGATATATATATATATAGAGAGAGAGAGAGAGATAGAGAGATAGATATAAAAAATATATTAAAATAGTTTGAACCGGTTTTAAGTTCTGAAGAGACTCGAGAGAAATCTGACAGGATGAAGAGCCATTTTGAGACAAAATATTTAATTGTAAATGAACACACACACATTTCTTTCTAAACCTGAAGATATTTTTATTTATAAGCCACTGTTTTATTAGTATTTATGTCTAAAAGTGGAAAACTGAAGATTTGATGTTATTTTTTTCTCTTGTAGAACTTCCATCTGATGGACTACCACCTGGCCATCTTCATCACTGTCATGTTGGCCCGGAGGCTCGTTTGGACCATAGTCTCAGAGGTAAACACACAGATTTGTCCACAGGTGGACACGTCTTTGTCACTGGACATGTCCCCCTTCCTTATCGTCCGTGTGTTCGCTGCAGGTGTCTCAGAGCGGCGGAGGGTCCCTGCTCCGCTACGTGGTTCTGATCGCAGCTCGGCTCAGCCTGCTGACCCTGTGTGGCTGGGTGCTCTGCTGGTCACTGGTCAACCTGTGCCGGAACCACTCTGTGCTCAACCTCCTCTTCCTGGGATACCCGTGAGTCTGCATTCTGGTCCTGTAGCTTGGCACCGGTTCCTCGCTGCAGGGCGAGGGGTGAAACCACATTGTGACGGGGCGGAGACGCTGTTCCTCTCATAAGGCACAGCACAGTTAAATTAGTTTTCTATCACGGTTTGTTTCAGGGAAGGAGGCTGAAAACATGGTCGGAGCTGCAGCTTATAACTTAACTTATAGCACTGTTCTAAATGGTGAAATATATTCGTAGTTCTGACCTGTTGTCGGGTCTTGCTTTTGACATTGTCTACAGAAAACGTTTGTCTGCCACTCCTCTGACAATTAAATCCAAACCTTCTCAAAGTAACAGTCATTGTTTTTCTTCTGTTCAGCAGCTAAGCTGCTCTTGATATCTCCCGTGTTTACTTGTTGCGTTAAACTCTTCCCCCACCTGAAGAAGCAGGAACAAGGGTAACGCACATGGGTGAGGGGCTGGGCTTGTATTCAGTGAGGGAAAAGGAGGGGCTGTGTGAAGTTGGAGGCACAGACAGGAGAAAAAGAACTACATGGATTTCCAAGTTTAACAATACTTGCGATGGTTGCAATAGAACCATTTTAACCATTGTAAATTGAAAAAAATCTTGATCTATCGAGTATATTCGATATATCCCCCAACCCTACCCCGAAACACAGAACATCATTCTCAAGTACACTGATGACACCACCATCTTGGGCCTCATCACCAACAACAATGAGTGCCTACAGAGATGAGGTGAAATCACTGATCAGCTGGTGTCAGGAAAATAACCTCTCTTAATGTCAGCAAAACAAAGGAGATGATAGTGGACTTAAAGAGACAGCGTGGAGGCCACCACTCCACCATCTACATAAGCAATGTTGAGGTGGAGTAAGTCAGCAGCTTCAAGTTCCTCTGCGTTCACATTACTGAGGATTTGTCCTGGACTTTACAGACGCTGTGGTCAAGAAAGCCCAACAAAGGCTCTACTTCCTCAGAAGACTAAAGAAGTTTGGTACAACCACCAGCATCCTCACCAACTTTATAGGTGCACCATGGAGAGCCTGCTGACAGGCTGCATCACAGGGTGGTATGGGAACTGCACCAGTCAGAGCCGGAAAGCTCTACAGAGGTGGTGCAAACAGCAGAGGACATCACTCATAACATTCTCCACACCATCCAGGGCATCTATCACAGTCGATGTCTGCATAAAGCATGCAGCATCATTAAGGACCACACCCACCCAGCACAAGGACTCTAACATTAACTACCCTCAGGCAGACGATACAGGAGTCTGTCATTGCATACAAAAACACTCGCAGACCGTTATTATCCACTCTTGACAAACTGTTCAAACCCCTCAGTGCCTTTCCACTTTTTATCTTGGTATTTGTCCTTCATGTTTTTCTCTTTCATCTCTGTTGTGAAATCTCTCCGTCTTGATTTATCGTCGTTTGCTCTCGGTGATTAATCATCTCCCACTTCCTGTCAGTGTAACTTGTGCCTGTGCTAATGGAGGGAGCTGATGCGTCGAACCATTTGAAAACCGTTTCCTCAGAAACCCACACTCCTCTTTGTTTTCTTGTTTTTTCTCGCCTCCCCTCTCGTCAGGTTCGGCGTGTACGTCCCGCTCTGCTGCTTCCACCAGGAGGGCGGCAAAAGCCCAGCGGCGGTGTCCGACTGCGATTATCCGGCAGAACACCAACAGGCTGAACTGACGGAGTCGCAGCTGTTCCGGCCGCGAGACTTCCTCTTCCTTTTACGAGAGAACCTGAGGGAGCAGTTCTCCAGCCCCCCCCACATGCCCACTCACACGTGCCCCGACACCCCCGAGCTCATCCGAGCCGAGGTGGAGGAGCTGAAGAGCGACTTCAACCGGAGGATCAAGGAGGTTCTGTTCAACTCTCTGTTCAGCGCGTACTACGTGGCCTTCCTCCCGCTCTGCTTCGTTAAGGTTGGAGGTTCTTCTTCTTTCAGCAACCCCCCCCACCCCCCCCACCCACACACACACACTCCGTTTGTTAAAGTAACCCATGTCACCTCAACAGAGCACTCAGTACTACGACATGCGCTGGTCCTGTGAGCACCTGATCATCGTGTGGATCAACGCCTTCGTGATGCTCATGAGTCAGCTGCTGCCTCCTACGTACTGCGACCTGTTGCATCGCTCGGCGGCTCACCTGGGCCGCTGGCAGAAACTAGAGCACGGCTCATACAGCAACGCACCTCAGCATGTGTGAGTTTTCCCCTAAACAAACACACACCCCTGCAGAGGACGCATAACCACGGTGTGCTGTTGGTGTGTTTCAGGTGGTCAGAAAGCACCGTCTGGCCTCAGGGGGTGTTGGTACGACACAGTCGATGTCTCTACAAAGCAGTTGGACCGTTTAACGTCGCTCTGCCCTCCGATGTGTCGCATGCAAGGTTTTACGTGAGTCGCCCCCTTTAATCCTTAAGATGAGGAAATGAGGACCACAGACTTCAGCAGAAATGGGGGGGTCTAGTCCTGGTCCCGGAAGGCCTCCGTCCTGCACGTTCCTCTGCTCCGACACACCTGATCATGATTTACAGGCTGCTGCAGAACATCCTTTGATTCAGGTGTGTTGGGGCAGGGAAACGGGTGAACCTGCAGGAGAGTGGCCCACCAGGACTGGACACCCCTGCGTTAGACATTCCAATCTACATGTTTTTTTAAGGGCCTTTAGTTAAAAAAAAAAACCTCCACATTTCAGGTGTTTTTTAAATCAACAAAATATATTTTATGGAAATTCTGTTTAAGAACAAAAATAATTTCTCCGTTAGTACGCACAAAATTATTTTTAGACATTTAAAAAAAATATTCCAGTCCAGTTGGACCTTCAGGTCCAGTAGCTGAAGGTGAGGCCTCATCTTCGGTCAAACTGGCTGCTGTCTTGAACACAGGGTTTTTTTCTATTTCGTTGTTAATTTTTAACTCTGCTTGTAATAGAACGCTAATTTCTAATTTTCTCGTACTGACCCAGATGTACGAGCGAGCTGCTGGAGCAAGGCGCACCCGCTAATGACGTCCTGCTTCGGGTACAACTGTTCTGAGCCGTGGAGCGTCCGATGCTGCAGCCTGCATGCATGTGCAGCAGCTGTTTCAGACTAAATTACTTGTGCACGTTACAAGAGAGTTTTTGCTCTTTACGTCCAAACTAAGAGTTTTGTCAGATGAGGGACTCTGCAGCAAGTCCAGCCAGAACTGAGGCGTTGTTTCCTCCGGGTGAGTGAAATATTTAATCCGGCAAATTTTTACCGAGGCTCTCAAACATTAAAGCAGAGCAACAACTCGTGGGCTAACATCAAATAAAAAAATACAGCGATGGAGATAAAAAGAAAAATCATTACAGAGAGGAAAGCATTATTTTATGATATAAATATGGGATTAAAAGTTTTTAGTGTTTTTGTACAATGTGACCGTGAAGTAAAGTTACCGTGAGGGCATCTGAAAACATTCTGATCCAAAATAAACACGTTTTCAGGCTTTGTCTTTGGTGGTTAAAACACGATCGATCTCTTCAGTCTGACGACGCCCGCTCTGAGGTTATTAATGACGCTCCAAGAATCATTTTGTGTTTTCCTCGACCCGTCCGCTGTTGATGTGAGCTGAGATGTTTGTGGGTGAAACTTATTCTCAACAATAATCTAAAACGTTTCAGCTTGTCATCATTATAACCAGCTGTGTCTCCGTTTTGAGCCAACCCTCGGACGATCTGTGTGTAAGTTCCAACAACACGTTTGTTGGTTTTAGTAGCACAAACAAAAACAAACTGATGCAACTTGATGTCCATTTATTTATATATGTCGTTTAAAAAACCACACTGCTGACCAAAGTGCTTCACGAGGTTGACGACAAACAGGAAGAACCAGCAGTAACATAAATTAACCAATACCACTTTGGTGATGTCATTTCCTCTTCCACTTAAAAAACTAAAACCTGTTGATAGTTTATCGATACAGTAGTCCCTCGTTTATCGTGGGGGATCCGTACCCTGAAGACCCGCGATAAGTGAAAAACCGCAAAGTAGGAATAGCAGTACAAGTAGCAAGTAGTACTTTATTTTAGTATGTATGTATTCTTCGTGTGTGTATATATATATGTGTGTGTGTGTGTGTGTGTGTGTGTATGTATGTATGTATGTGTATATATATATATATATATATATATATATATATATATATATATATTATATGGTGTTTTAAACCCTTACCACACTCTTGCAATATTCTAAACGTTTCTAAAGCTCTAAAAGAGCACAGAATGTCATGATTTCTGCTCTCAGCCACCTGCAGTTGCTCATGGCCACGCCCACTTCTACGCTTTGCACTGTGAGCAGCTGATCAGCTGCAGCAGAAAGTTTATCCTACAGTAAGGGCTGCACAAAGGTTCAGGAGGAAGCTTTTTCTGCTGCTCTGGACTGCACAAATGTGCAGCAAGTGCTAAAGAATTTAAAACAATTTATTTTAAATAAAAATTTCATGCTGATCGTGCGGCTCATCCATCAGTCAACCAATTGTGTGTCATGTCCAATCTTATTTTGAAAAACCGTGATAGAGCAAGTCTGCGATAAACGAAGCGCGAAGTAGCGAGAGACTACTGTATTTTCAGATGAACACAGGCGATGTTAAGACGGCAGACTGCTGTGTTCTGATGAGAAGAAACGTCTTTCAGAAGTCGTCTAACGTTTAATTAAAAAACTACTCCGTCTCAACAAGTACCCAACCTGAATTAATCAATTTTATTTATAAAGCACCCTTCATACTAAAAGCAGCTCAAAGTGCTGTACTCAGTCTGACATAAGCTGTTAAAAACCAACAAGTTGAATAGAACTCGGACAAGAAAACACAACAAAGAAGAACAGAACTCGAGTTAGTTTTGGTTAAAGTTGGCTTTTGGAAGAATTGTACATTCCAGGAATTTTATTTCCATGGAATCAAAATAAAAAACGCAAACAGAGTTCTCTAAGACTAAACATCCTCTTTTGTTCCGGTGGTTCGAGTCCAGTGACGCAGTGAGATGAGACGTTTGAATGTGGGAGGAGTTTCTGCTGGAATGTGGGAGGAGTTAAGATTCCAAGTGGGCCGCGCCCCTGGACTTTATTCAGGTTCTGGTTTGTTCGGACCCGCTGTCTGTGAGCCGCTTTACACTCATCTGTCCACTTCATGTTCCCCCGTCTCTCAGTTCCTGTTCCACAAGCCGCTGCGGTTCCTGAACCTGCTGATCGGGATCGAGTCCAGTGTGGTTCTGTACCAGCTGTACTCCCTGCTGCGCTCCGAGCGCTGGAACCACACGCTGTCGCTGGGCCTGATCCTCTTCTGCAACTATTACGTGCTCTTCAAGCTGCTTCGGGACCGCATCGTGCTGGGCCGGGCCTACTCCTGCCCCCTGGCCTCCAACAGCTCGGGGTTCAAGTCGCAGTGAAGGACCTGCAGACCTGGACCGGACCGGGGGGGTGGAAAGAGACTGTGGACTCATTTTGTGTTTTGATACGGTTCTATTTTTAATGCAATGTTTATATTGACCTATTTAAAAGAATATTTTATTTTGTATACCGTTTTTGTGTTAC